TATGGGGTTTTTGTTGAAGGTGTAAATGTGCAAACCAAAGAGGAAGTTGCTGTCAAGCTGGTATGATGATATTTTCTCAAGGATGTGTTTTTGGTAGTGTTTTATGTTGGTCTGCTAATGGACTTATTTCTAGTTCTGGTATTTATAGTGATGATTGTGGATCCTTATACCCATAAATAAATCAATCTTTAGTTTTTCTTATCTTTGCTTTGTAATTCATTGTCTCTAAAATGCAAAAGAACAAACCTTTGGACTTTAAATTGCATTAAATCTTGGACATTGGCTAAAAGAACGATCAGTAATATGCCCTTTAGTTTAGTGATTGCTTTTGTTTTAGAAAAGGAGAAGTGGTTTTACTAACGCACTTATTAATTTGGTAAAGAAAGCTTCTTTTTCCAAGACATTGTTTCCTTATCTAGCCTTGTTAAGATTTATATTGTTTATCATTTAAGTATGAAGGGAAAGGACATTTGTTATTGCACCCATTTCCATTCTGAGAAGAAAAATGTTTCTTTTTTTGATAAAGAAGACATTGTTTCCTTATCTAGCCTTGTTAAGATTAAACGATTGCGAGGTGCATTTCCATTCTGCAGTTACTTAATCAGTTAATCTTTTTCCATTTGTTTTACCACCTTGACCTTTTTCTTCCTCTTCCTATTTTCAGGAATCTGCAAAGACCAAGCATCAACAGCTTCATTATGAGTCAAAATTGTATATGCTACTTCAAGGAGGAAGTAAGCATCTATTTTTGCTTCGCCCCCGCACCCCTCTGTCTAAAAAAATGATTTGGTCCTACATGACTTGACTATGGTCTTCTTTCCTTTACATGATTTTCACACCACTGGTTTAGGCTTGAAACAATTTGTTCAATAACATATTACAGATCCTTTTTTTTGGAACATGCTAGCATGTTATTTTTATCTCAAGATTATGTTGCTAGTTGTTTCTTGGATAAATCTTTAACTTAGCGAGGGTTCTCATTGATACAGCGGGTATTCCCCACCTCAAGTGGTTCGGAATTGAGGCTGATTACAAGGTCATGGTAATTGACCTTCTTGGACCTAGTTTGGAAGATTTGTTCAACTACTGCAACAGGAAACTTTCATTAAAGACGGTGCTGATGCTTGCTGATCAACTAGTAAGTATAAGGCTTTTTTTACAAAGGAATATGAGTTCTATCATATTTATATTCTCCCTGTTTAACTTTATTTATTTTTCAGATTAATAGAGTAGAATATATGCATTCAAGGGGATTTCTTCATCGTGATATAAAGCCTGACAACTTCTTGATAGGCCTAGGACGCAAGGCTAATCAGGTATTTAAAATTAGTCTTTTCTTGTATGTAATGTTAGCAGATAAACATATATTACATTGTTGGCACAGCCACCTTCAATTTTGAATTTCTGGTTATGATAAAATGTTATTTCATTTCTAGGTATTGGACTTTGTTATACTTGTAGAGTATAAAATATTATGGTATTAATTTTTCATTTTTATTATTACAGGTCTATATCATTGACTATGGTCTTGCAAAGAAGTATAGGGATCTTCAAACTCATAAGCACATCCCGTATAGGTGATTATTTTTTTGTTGACTTGTTAATTCCAAAATTCAGAGTTGAAGATCTCAAGATTGTATAGTTTTCGTCATCATGCATGACTATTGAGTTAAGATACTAGATAAGAGTTAAGGGTGTTACTTCTTGATCTGTTTTCATTTTTGGCTTTTGCTTTTCTCGTGGCTGCAACTTGTTATATTACCTTAGCATGTTGTACAATCCAAGGAAGATCATAGTGAAAGTTTTATCAGCTTTCGGAGCCCTTGTAAATAAAGAAAACTGACACTTGTGGCAATACCCACATCATGTGCTATTTTTTCTTTGGATGGCATTTTGTTAGCTATTTAACCATGCATGCTGCCTCTTTGGAGTGAGATCAGTCTGACTTAATGGAATTGACTTCGATACAGATAAAGTCATAAAGGTCTCTTTTGTTTTCGGTGGATTTGACCATGGAGTTGGTTCATATACTCTTGACTCTTAACTGGTTATAGATTCCAAATTGCCAGTCAAATTAACTTATCTTCCATCTGTACACTTATACTTAGTTTCCATCAATTCTCACTATCTTGTTTGCTCAATTTTCTCTCTTTGCCAAATTACCTCCTTTATATTAAGTTCATAGTCGGTAAAGGTGTACTGAGTATATAGTGCAACCTTGTACCAAATGCATTTGTCTGTGAAACAACTCATCAAAATCTTTGCTGCAGAGAAAACAAAAACCTTACAGGCACTGCTCGTTATGCAAGTGTGAACACTCACCTTGGAATTGGTGAGTCATGTTACTTCTGTGACACAACTAATAACATTGAATCATATATAATGGATGCAAGTTTCCTTCTTTCTTTTTATTAATACTATCTTCTCTTTCATTGGCAGAGCAAAGTCGCAGAGATGATTTGGAATCCCTTGGTTATGTCCTTATGTATTTCCTTAGAGGAAGGTTGTTTATATGATAGCCCCATGCTGATTTCATTCAGAGTTTTATGCATTTCCGATGAATAATGTTTGATTTTTTTCTTGTTACTGAATCTTCGTTCTTGGTTTTCCTTCATATTGATTTTGATTTTAGTTCAGTTTGCACAATTTCTTTGCTTCAGTCTTCCTTGGCAGGGGCTAAGAGCTGGCACGAAAAAGCAAAAATATGATAAGATCAGTGAAAAGAAAGTCTCAACTCCTGTAGAGGTGTGTTTACTTGCACCATCCTTAGACAAACTGGTTTCCTTTGGGAAATCCGATTGAGTTTTACTAGCCTGGTGTAGGAATTGCTAGTGCTTTATCTGTATCTGTCTCTGGTCAGGATTGATATTTGTTGTTCTCCCGTCCCATTTTTATGGAATGTTCAATGATATCACTATAAATCTTTTTTAAGCAATTTGAATTCTTTGATGATACATTGTTCTTCATGAATTGATGTTTCGATAAATAGTTTTGAGATTCCTGTTCTTTTGAGATAAGATTAATGCAAAAGGCAGAGAATTAAATTCTTTGATTTTTATTATGGTGAAGTTTAATTTTGACTTAACTAGTAAATGGAACGTTTAAGGTAAAAATTTGATAAAGGGAATACGTACATAAGGCTAAGTTATGGTTCTCATGTGGTCCCAAGATTTCAGTGTTAGTCCATCTTATGATTATTATTCTTTATTCGTTGAGTAACATTGGTGTATACATGTTTTACAGGTGCTATGTAAGTCATATCCATCTGAGTTTGTATCATATTTTCACTATTGCCGTTCTTTGCGGTTTGAAGATAAACCAGATTATTCCTATTTGAAGAGGCTTTTCCGAGACTTGTTTATAAGAGAAGGTTAGTTATCATCATTAGGTTAGTTATCATCATTGTTTCTAATTGCTATGTAGCCTGTGTTCTTCTTCTCTTTCTTCATGGAATGTGAAGTTCGAATCCCCCTCCCTTTAGTTGGTTAAAAAACTCATATTGCTGCAGGTTATCAATTTGACTATGTTTTTGACTGGACCGTATTGAAGTACCCGCAGATTGGTGGCAGCACCAAAGGGCGGGTAAGCGCTTATAAACTTCTTGCAGTCAGTTACCGTCATCTCGAGAATATCACTCAGTTTTTCCACCTGTTTCTCAGCACTCCAGTGGAAGAGCAGGTTTAACTGCAGGAGCAGCCATTGGAAAACCAGAAAGAATCTCAGGTTTTATTTGTTTAAAAAAACTAGATTTCTCGATAGGTCGTATAATCATATACCTTTTTTTGTGGAACTCAATTATTTGATACTGAACTATTTGGTTTACAAGATGGTCATGCATTAACTATTATGATGTTAAACTAGCCTCTATGCATTCATTTTTTGGAATCTCTTATGGGCTATTCCACTTGATAACAACATTCAGTGGGAAGAGAGATTCGGGATAGATTCTCCGGTGCCATTGAAGCATTTTCCAAAAGAAATGTTTCAAGTACTAGCCCTCGTCGTGATCATTCTAGACACAAGACTGCTGAGGGTGCAACATTATCAAAGCATGCGGTGAGCTTTAATTTCCAGTCACAATTTTCTTTATCTTAGCCTATGCCTTGTTTGCTGTTTCAGTGCATTATATGATTAGATGGCATTAATAACAACAATCTCTTCTTTCCGACACCCTAATCTCCTGTCTCCTATTTTCAGCAACCATATTCAGAAAAAAGACGCAGTTCTTCTCGGTACGGTAGCATTTCAAGGAAAGCTGTAGTAGCAAGCAGGCCTAGTTCGTCCAGTGAACACAATGACATCTCGCAAAACCGGCAAGTATCAAGTGCTGGTCGCGCGTCTACCGCACAAAGACCCCAACTTGCCTTCGAGTCCAAAACATCCAGTCGCGCCGCTGCTGTTAGAAGTAGCCGTGATGATCACCCTCACCCTCTTCGAAGTTTTGAGCTCCTCTCGATAAAGAAATGATGCAGCAGTTTATCAGTTGTAAGCCGATGTTTTCAAGAACTTCCGATCTCGGTTGTAGACACCTTACTTCGACCAACATCTTTCGAAAACTTTATTCCTGAAAATGTCGAATCGAATTACTAGATTGATTCTCTTTTCGGCTTAGTTCGGTGTTCATTTTAATTTGCTTAAAAAGCAACCCTAACTTCTGTAATTCATGGTTCAATTCCAATAAGCAACAATCGAGATTTGTGTCTGGTACTCCATTTGGAATCCATAAACTTATATAAACACTTTCAGAAACCCTTGCGACTAGAGAGCCCAAGACACGAATGGCCGAAGATGGGCAAGAAGGAAATCCAACGGCTAAGCATCATTCAAAACAATACTAGTAAATAATTTTCATCTACGGATGTGATTACCAATGGCTAACCCAAGTAGACCGTATGTTATACACACACACACTTCAAAAACACTGAAACGCTCCACGAGCTTCGTTGTTTCCTTGCTATATTTCCTCTTCCTTCACCTCTCCTCTCCACCCATCGGTTTCCTTTCTCTTTCTCGCTGTAAGAAAATTACGATCATGCTAATCCTTTTGTACTTCTTCCTTATTATTAATTTATTGTTCGAATAGAAATAGCTGCGGCGATATTTCTATCCACCGCTGTTCGAAACGGTAGTAGGCAGAGGAGTTGCTGCCCGGAGTAAACCACCGAAATGGGGAAAAGAAAGGAAAAGAGGAAATATTCTAAAAAACCATATACATCGGACCAACTCGTCCCCGTCCCCATCGCCTCCCCCACTCCTCTTGTTAATTTATCCCTCAATTCTGTAAGTTTTTGTTTTTATTTCGCTGCACTACTTTTTCATTCTAATAAAAAATGGATATCGGGTTACAGGTGTTGCTTTATGATTGGTGGTTGTGCACGGCGAAGCCCCGAGATTTAGCTGTTGGAGGGTTTGAATGCAGAGGGTACCCTTGATAACTTTCCCTTTAGTTTTTTGTTCTTTTCATTTCAATAAATATGCATATACTAATATCAGTAGGAAAGAGGAGAAGGGATTTACTTTTTATCTCAAGCACATGGATTTAAATTGCGGTTGTGTTTATCGGTTCCAGACATAGCCGGTGCTATTACGGGGATTGCATATATCGCAATCATCCAATAGATGGCTCCACTACCCCTATATGACGGTTGCTAATTGCTATTGCGATAGCAGGCCACTATTTATATCCCTGCTCAAGCATACTTGTTAGACATAAAACACTTGTAAATTTCGTATGAAAAGTTGTTTTTGTGTAGTGGCTTTTTAATAATGGTATTAATGAGGTAATGGATGGCAAACAGGAGACAAGGACAAAGAGTGATGTACTCGGCAGCCATCGCCAAAAGACATGATGCCACCACTCTTGAAACTACCGATGGCATCATGGTTGCTATCAGCGGCTTCATCAATACCTCTCGTACACTTGAAAATGGCTTTTCACCTAAGGTCGAGTTTCTCCTTGCGCTGCTATTCATGCTTATCCTGTTAATATTTGCCAATAATATCATCTTATCATATCCCTATGCTTGAAACTGCCGATGGCATCACAGTTGCCATTAGTGGCTTCATCGTTACCTCTTGTACGCTTGAAAATGGCTTTTCATCTAAGGTTGAGTATCTCATTGCACTGCTATCCTTGCTTATCCTGTTAATATTTGCCAACAATTGCATCTTATCGTATCGCTAATAATAATACTATACTATATTATCTTCTTTAAACCATGCTTTTGCTTAAATTTTTGCTTCTTTGGGACATCTCTGTTTCTCCCTTTAGGCAAGAATTGGAGCTCAAATTTCTCGATCTTAACCTCTTGCAGGTTTGCGGCCATTTCCTTTTTGGGTTTCCATATGATTGGGAGGAATACGCATCACCTTCAGAAGCTTGTTCTTCTAATGAAGAATCTGTTTGTCATGGCAGCAGTGCAATTTCTTCCCTGCCACCTTCTTTAGACAAGCTCCATGTCCCTGCTGCTAGGATGCGCGATCTTCTGATGTTTTCTGCTGGAGACTCTCAAAAATTGGTTTTCGATCACATGCTGCAGAAATTGAGCTCCCATGATTCTCAAAACGCAGTTATTACAGTCGGTTCAAACACTGGAAATAAACATCCAGAAGTACGTCCTTATTCTGCTGCTGATTGTGAAAATTCGAATTGCCAAAAGAAGGTTAAGGTTATCGAGAATGATAATAATACGTCGTGTTCAAGGAGTAAAACAAGAGTGGAATCCAAGGAGGTTCAGTCAAGGATTGGCGTAGGCAGCATTACTCAAACTATAGGAGTTAAAACCAGAAGCTTGATACGGTTGAAGCAGAAGAGAGATTGTCTTCATTCATTGGACTCCCAAGAGAAGAGCATTGCAGGGAAAATCTACTGAAAGATAAACATGAATTAGTATTGTGTCTATCATGTAAAGAAGTAGGCTACTGATACCACAGAAAACCAATTATCTCGGTATGGCAGCACTTCGAGGAAAGCTGTAGTAGCAAGCAGGCCTAGTTTGTCCAGTGGACAGAATGACATCTCGCAAAACCGGCAAGTATCAAGTGTCGGTCGCATGTCTACCGCACAAGACCCCAACTTGCCTTTGAGTCCCAAACATCAGTCGCGCCTCTGCTGTTAGAGGTAGCCGTGATGATCACCCTCACTCTCTTCGAAGTTTTGAGCTCCTCTCGATAAGGAAATGATGCAGCAGTTTATCAGTTGTAAGCCGATGTTTTCAAGAACTTCCGATCTCGGTTGTAGACACCTTACTTCGACCAACATCTTTCGAAAACTTTATTCGTGAAAATGTCGAATCGAATTACTAGATTGATTCCCTTTTCGGTGTTCATTTTAATTTGCTTAAAAGCAACCCTAACTTTTGTAATTCATGGTTAAATTCCAATAAGCAACAATCGAGTTTTGTGTTCGGTACGCCATTTGGAATCCATAAACTTATATAGTACTCCACATTCAGAAACACTTGCGACTAGAGAGCCCAAGACACGAATGGCCGTAGATGGGCAAGGAGGAATTCCAACGGCTAAGCATCGTTCAAAACAATATTAAATATCATTAGCCAAACGGATAAACTTATAGAAATTATGGTTAACGGTTAAGGTTACTGTTACGAGTTTTGATAAACGGTTAACCGTTAAGAAATTAAATTTATAATTATATTTCTAATTTATTATATTTTTACACAAATAACTTAACATAGTTTTCTATTATTTATAATTTATATATATTTAATAAAGTTTGTATACAAATAATTTAATTTATATATATATATATATATATCATTTTTATTTTTATTTTGAAAATATAGAAATTTTTTACACCAATATAATTATGTGTTTAATGTTAGGTACATATTTGGAGATGTATATAATTACACTGATGTAAGTATGTGTTAAGTGTTATATTTTTTTATTTTATTTACTTATAACGGTGTATGGGTTAAGTTATATATTTTATTGTAGTATGAATTATTAAAAAAATTGATAAATAATTGTAATAGCTTAACCTACAATTAACCTACAACTGAACCGTTAATAATGATTAACTATTAGCAGTTAACCGTTTCTTAACAGTTAGGTTACGGTTAGAAAAATCTCATAACCGTTATAACGGTTAACCGACCGTTTAGGCTAAACGATACGGTTAACCGTCCATGAACATCCCTTATACAACTTCAATAGGAGTGCATTCCCATCTTGGTACACTTTCACGGGTAGTTAAAACTATTGACCCTAAGCTTCATCAACACCTTGGTATGTTATATTAGTTCGATTTACCGTTCTACTTAACACTGACCTTTTTTTGCCATCTTTGTAGTTTACACTTCTTACTACGTTCAACTAAAACCCCGATATATTTGTGTGACAGAGGGGAATATTTGTTAGCGTTTCAACTATTAAAAGTTACAAAATAATCATTTGATTATAAAATATTACTTTGTTAAGTCTCTCAACTATTAAAAGTTATAAAATAACCACCTCATTATTCATTATGTTCCAAAATCGTCTTTTTCGTAAAAAAATATACATACATAATTTAAGACGTTGTCACTCCTTTCACTTAACCAGTCAAATGATGTTACATATAGCCATAATTAATCTTAAACTAAATTATTTTCAGCAAGACATAAAAGAAAGAGTATAAATATCTTTTGTCAAATTCTGTCATCAGTTCATATATTATGTATATAAATTTATCCTTTATATTTTAATTTAGTCAATTTTAATATCTATACTTTTTAAAATTTAAAATTTCAATCATAACTCGAATGGTACAATATAATATAATTAAAATGCATGAACTTAAAATGATCGAAGAGAAAAATAAGAACTAAATTTATAATTTATGCATAATCGAGAGACTAACAAAGAATTTTGTTTAAAAAAAAAGTTAATTGTTAATATTTGGGTCAGGACTAAAATTCCAAAACCTAAAATGTACGAGATTAAAAATATTGTATAAAAATACAATGACGAAGTTCACAATTTATACTTAAAACGATGACTAATAAAAGGGTTTAAAAATGGTAAATTATGCATTTAGTACCTAAAATATCGATTTTAATCCATTTTAGTACCTAAACTTTTACCTTTTACAAAACAATACCTAAAGTTTAGTTTTTGTTTCATTTTAGTACCCCATTCAAAATTTAACATTAAGTTTTGATTTTTTTTTTGAAAGTTTAGGTATTAAAATAGACCAAAACTGATAGTTTGGATACTAAACGCGTTAGATTTTTAACGGCGGTACTAAAATGAAACAAAAACTAAACGTTGGGTATGATTTTGAAAAAAATTAAAAGTTCAGATTCTAAAACAGACCAAAACTGATAATTTAGGTATTAAATGCATTGTTTACCCTAAAAATTGTATCCGAAACAATAATCTGTATGTTCTTACTAAATAAGACAATTTGTTAAAAACTTCCGAAACATACATCTTCTGATCCTAAACCCTAAATTATCGTTAAGTCATTGTTATTTAAGATTGCATTTCCATTGAATTAACGCACCTTTCGCCTTAAAACAGAAAGTTCCCTTCCTAATAAGCACACATTTTCCCTAAACAGTCCAACTTTCTGACCCAATATTATCATTTTTATTATTATTTTTCCTCTATTTAAGGTTCAAGAAACAAAATCACCGTCCCCCCCTCATTTGCATTTTAAATTTCTTTGCACACCTGCATGTGTTTTTCGCATGCATGAAGACCAGGCATGCTTGTTCTATCACACAACCTTTTGTTCCTTCCCTGAAGGTGAAATGTGTTAGCAGGGCAAATGTTCCAAAGCTGTAAGAGAAAAATATATATGTATCTCCTGTGTTATCTGAATTCAAGAATCTTGTACGGATATGTTCGTTTTTTTAATGTATTTGAAGGATCATGCCTTCGTCGATATGCGAATATATGGAAGATATGATGATGATTTTTCTCTTTTTCTCAGTTTTCAGATTCAGATTTGAAAGCTTGATTTGTTCCACATCCATATGCTGATCTAGTTTAGATATCATTAAATCAAACATGATGAAAGGGTTGCTAAAAGGTCTTAAATACTTTACTAACATATTTGGTATGTATTTCCATCTCTCCTTATGACACTATAAGAAGCAAATATATATATACATACACACACATATATATATATGTATGACACCAAGAGCAAAGAACCACTGGATTAGTTTGGTTTTTGAGTGGTTGGTAATAAAGGCAAGAAGTGGGTGAAACTTGTTTTTGCAGAAAGCGAAAAGAGCCTGAAATGCAGATTGGTCTGCCAACAGATGTAAAGCACGTGGCTCATATAGGATGGGATGGTCCTTCAACAGTACAGTCTAAACCTAGCTGGGTAGTTCACTCAAATCTAACTATAATTATATTACTACTTGGATGGATATAACCTCTAAAGATCCTATGTTCGATACTAACCCGTCCCATACTTGCATCCATGTTCGAGTTGTAAAAGTGTTCCATCTTGTTCTTATAACCACAAAATCAGAAGTTGTCAATACGATGAATGGTTATATTTCTGACTCTTTTTCTTTAATTACATGCAGATGAATGAGTTTCAAACACCAGCAGGAGGGTTTCAGACACCACCTTCAGCTCTTCGAGGTACAAACAAGAAATATTTTGGTTGCATCATTTGATTCATTTGTATATATGCAATCGTCATTTTGGATATAATTTTACAGATAACAATAATTTGAGCCGGAAAGGCTCGAGGGGTAAAAGTTCTGCGGCAAAAGACTCGCCACAAGTGCCAAAATCATCGAAGCGCACTATATCCACAAACGGGAGTGGAGCCTCTTCAACAAAGGAGAAAACAGAGAAATCAAAGCAATCAAAGAAGACTAGAAAACCCAAGGACTCGAACCAAGCTACCGAGTCAAAAGAACCAAAGAAAAGTAAGCGAAAGAAGGTGAAAGAGTTGGTCGGTGAAGGAAGCTCGAGGCGGTCCAAGGTCACAGAGTCGGATACTTTTTCCGAAGCAGGGTCCCAATTTAGTTTTGTTTCGGATTTAACAGAAGGGGAGAACAATTGAGTTGAGGAGTTTTTTGGTCAGGGGGGGGGGGGGGAGTGCTCTTTTGGTTGGTATATAAACATATTGGTAAATTTTATGACTAGCTAGTGTACCAGTCTCTTTTTACTGCAGCAGAAACCAAGAAGAGTTACAGATTCTTCCTTAACGTTTTAAGTTTCTTCTATTCATGTCTCCCACATGCGGGAAACCTTGTATGATAACAGAGTCTGGGGGTATTCATTTTAAATATAAACTCGTATTTGATATTTATGCGACATATATCTGAGTACTGGGGTAAGATATGATTAATCTTCAAATGTTTAGTAATTAGAAATCAAGAGTATGGAAAGCATTACTTGTTTATGCTTCCCTGACTCAACTTCTGCTTTTTTGCATAGGCGTCCGTTATCTTCATCGAGGATAAGGCTTGGGGATTACCTGCCTTGAAGCATATAAAACCCCTGGTCAAAAGGATTACAAATATTATTATTCCAACCAAAAACATAAGCAAAACTCTAACACCCTAGACCAGTACGACACACAGTCGACCTATTTAAGGTGCTATACGGAATCACCGACGTGGCTAACCAACTTATTCTTACTTTATTGCACTTTAAAACGACTCTTTACATCTGAGAGCCCTCAAAATATATGGATACATATGTACTGACTATTAACTGACTTTACAACTCAATACAACTGAATTTATTAATATACATGTCATTTAAGAAACTTGTGACGTACTCTGCTCTACACTGGATCTGGACATCGATCTCTCTAAAGCTTCTCAACTGTTGGATTTGGACATCAATCTCTCTAAAGTTTCTCAACTGCTGGATCTACTAATCTGCCCACGGAAATATTCGAAAGCTCAGCGTCACACTTAACAACTAAAACATACTAAAAGTTTGTCACTGAAATGCTCAAGCTACTAAGTATGCTGTTATCCGGTCAACTGGTTTGTTTTGTTCTGCTTTAATGAGTATACTCGTATACTCATTTTTTATTCTATGGTAGACATCATGGTGCGGCTGAGGGTTCTGCATCTCGTAGCTCGCACACCCCTCTAGTCTACCGAATATGGCCTCCGTAATCTCTGCATCGGACACCACACTCTCAACTAGCCCACTCCTTGAGTGTCGGACCTTGCGCCCAAACTAGTCAACTTAAAGTGCCTTGTGCACTTCCTAAGTATATACAGATTGAATCTATACTTTCGACTCTGCTATATTTTCTAAAGGAACCCGGGTGTCCTGGTCGTCTTCCCGAGCATTCAAACAAGGCTAGTCTTATTTTACCCTTCTTTATTCTCGTTTCTACGTTTGAAATTAAACATTAATAAATGTTCTCACTTGTAGTCTTATTTGAGAGAAATATAAGCTTTTGGGAAACATCACTTACATCTATACTTTCTCTTGACTTAAAGCCCATTTCTCAACCTTAGTATCGATACTCTCGCTTGCCTCTACACTTACTCGTGCTTTAAAGCTCAAACCATACCCTTAGTATCGATACTGGTCGTACAGTATGAATACCCTCTCTGCAGTATCGATACCCTACAGCTATTTCATCCATTTTAACCCAACTTTAAACACCTTCTATAGCACTTATTCTAGTGTTTTACATCTATTTGATCCCATTTATGGTCATACTATGGGTATAGAGCCTCTCGGGTAACGTTTTGGCCAAAATAAACTGAAACTACCGATACTAGCCCAAGAGTATCGATACTCCTGCAAAAGTTTCGATACTTTATATAAGTACCGATACTTTTAAACATTCTATTCTGCCCAGTTTCGAAACTATGACCCAAAGTTTCGATACACTTGCCCAGAAACTCACGAATTTGCCCAAAACAAAGAACAAATATCGATAATATCCCTATAATATCGATACACTACCTGCAAAAGTCATAAAACACATACATAAATGTTATATTTCAATCTCAAAGACCCTAGTGAGGCCCCCAAACATTCTTTAAAGTCTTATGTGATTACAAGGAGCATAAATAAGGAATTGTTGTTATTCCTGATGACCCGGGTTTAAGCATCATAGATATCAGATGTGTAAGCGTTTAATGTTAAAAGGTTGAGAGTTATCTTCGAACAGATAATGCCTTTTACTTACCCCAAATTATTAATAAAAAAACTTATAATCCAAATTTCAACTTCTTTTTAATATAATGTATGTAGCAATTAAATTATACGCTTCACTTTAATTCATCCTCTTATTTTGTCAAAAAAATAAATAAATCATCCTCTTATAAATTATACTAATAACAGGTTAATTAAATTAAATTCAATCAATTATTTAAATTTAAAATTAATTTATATAATCAAATAAAAATAATATTATGATTTTATAATAATATTTAATCATTAAAATAACTAAATTGATATTATATTTTGTATCAATAAAAAAATTATCTATTTGTAGGAGTCATCGGATTTTAAATTTTCATTGTGTTATCAATTTTTTTATTTATTTTAATTATATTAACTATTTTTTTAGTTGTGTGAGAAAATTAATCTAACAAAAATGAAAATAAACAATATTTTCCCTTCTCATTATTATTACTTTTTGAATATTCATTTATTCAATTTTATGATCAAGAAATATCAGTATACTTTTTTTAAATAGTATGTAAAAAATTTATAGCATTTTTTATTAATGTAAAGAATATTTAATAATATTATTTAATTATATACTTTTATTAATTAATTATTTTTTTAAATTGATAGCTCATAATTTATTCATAGCGTAGTTCAAACAGGATTCGATGAACTTTTAAACCTTATTAAAAAAAATAGGTTAGATGGTACAATAAGAAACAAACATTTTAAGAAATAACAAAACTTTAAAAATTAAATACATATTTTTATTAAGATAAAATGGATGAACAAATTCTATTACGTAACCTAACGATCGTAGATCTTGTATATATTTAGAACTATGAGACCTTATTAAAACTAGTTGAAAAAAAACTAATCCCTAAGAAAATAAAATAATTGATCCTAATAAAATTGAGAGCAATGTAGTTTGAGTTTATAAATAAAATATCTATATCGCCTAAAGAGTACACCACAAATTTCATATGCCTCCCAAAAAGCATCACAACAATTTTTATCAACTTCATTGAAAACATCATATGTTGTTGCTCTCCAAATCTTTTCAAAGCACTCATTGCGATAATTCTCCGTTGAACACCAACACAACTTCCTTCTTTTCACGAAATATGGAGCATTTATTGGTACTTCACACTGGTTTAGAGGAGTCGATGGAATTGGACTAACTATTGTCGTAATTGGTGGTGCTTCAGTAGATAAATTTGATTTAGGCACTATTGGTGGTTGTGGCGGCTGTAGGTTTGATTTAGTCATTGGTAGTGGTGGTGGTGATGGTTTTGGATGCGGATTTGGTTTAGTCATTGGTGGTGACGACGGCGGTTGTAGTGGATTAATTTGAGATGGTGGAGGTGGTGACAAACATTGACAACTACAAATCTTAATGCACGTTCCATTTACTATGGTTTGATAGAGATAAGGATGACAAGGTGGGTAACAAGTACATCCTGCGCTAGTTTCATCACAATTTGATTGTGCATCCCCACGGTATAACATGGATGCCAACAACATCAAAACTGACAAAGTAATAACTATGTCTTGCGCCATCATTTTGTTTTCAGTTCTTCCACTCAACTTTTATTTTTCACACTTTTAATTTAAGTTTTCTTCTAAAACTTTATATTTATAGACAAAAAAAATACAAGTTGTTTACTTTATCTAAAATGTTAATTTTTAATTTTTAAATTTATTATTGGAGGTTAGATTTAAAATAAAAAAATTATTATCATTCTTTTATTTTTTTTATAAAAAAAATCTATTCAGTTAAATTTATCTTTTTCTCAATTAATCTACTTTTATATTTAATTTTACAAAAATAATATTTCATAATTTATAATAATTATATTTTTATGTTGTAATAATTATGATGAAGAGTATATTTTTAATGATAATTATTTAACATCTTTAATAATCTTAAAGTTTGATTTACTAAAGTTCGGTTCCATTTAGTTATTTAATTTTTTTATAAAAATATTTAAAGTTATAGTTAATATTATTTATCTAAAATATTATTTAAATTTTAATTATTTTATTATTTAAATATAATTTTTAGAAAAAGTTAATTTTAAATTCATCAATTATTTTTGAAATCATGATCTATATTAACTCGTATTTTATTTTTTTTTAATTTAATTATCGATATTCAATCTACTTATCGTATATTATAAATTATATAAATTGCTATATTACATCCTTCGTTAAAAATATATAAAGTCCTAAAAAAAGCCTTCACAACTCGTAAAAATTAGATAAAACATTAATTAGATTCGATTGAATTGAATTTTTTATATGTTTATTTTGGTTGGATTCAAATTCTCAATTTTAATATTAATTTGTATTTTTTATTTTATGTTTTTTTACATTTTTTTGATAGAAAGTATTAAAGAATCCTATATTTCTTCTGTCCCACAAAATAGGTATCCTATTATCTTTTAAAAGGTAAAAAAAGATTTAAACTTTGATATTATTTTAAATATTTCAAACAATTAAATTTTAGGCTCAAACTAATAAAAAGGTACTCAAACTATGTCATTTTTATGTTTTAAGTATCTAAATTATTTTTTGGTTAAACTAAATCCTTAAATTATTATATGTAACTACTTTAGTACCTGAACTATTTTTTGGTCAAAATAAGTATATAAACTATGACTTTTTTTTTGCTTTAAGCCCCTAAATTATTTTTTTGTCAAAAAAAGTACCTACTTTTATAAGATTTAAAATGATTAAATATAATAATTTAAAGACTTAATTTGACCAAAAATAGTTTAAGCACTTAAACTGAAAATAATCCATAATTTGATTACTTATTTTTTACTCTAAGCCTTTAAAAATCATCTAAACATGTGTGATTATTGTTTAATTGATCATCTAAACTGGGATTACTCTTCGGATTGAACTTTTGAGGTCGACGACTGTTGGAACGACAGGAGATGGATAAGAAAGCGAAAGAAAAAAAGATGGCGTGAAAAAGGAAATAACGAATGAGGAGATGGGGAAAATTAACGTTTCAACTTTTTTCAGTGTTGTTGAACGAAGTATTACGTGTCACATCTTAATAAGTTTAAAAAATTTATTATAGATTTTATTATTTTTTAATAAAATTAGTTAAAATTACCGGAAATATTATTATTTTCATCTAAAATATTATTGAGCGCTTTATCGGGATTAGTAATATATCTAGTAAAAAAATAATATTTTAGGTAATATTTTATCAGATATATTACCAAACTCGGTAAAATACTCAAAAATGTTTTAGATGTAAATAATAATATTTCTGAGAATTTTTATTGATTTTGTTAAAAAAATAAAAAATTAAAAATATTTTTTATTAACCGTATATTAAAATTATCGTACGATAAGATTAAAGTTGGGATTAGATGAGGCGTAAAAGGCGTTTAATAAAATAAATTAACTAATTAATACTTTCCCTTGGTGGTATTATTTTATTCAAGACATTCTTACTGTATCGGGTCAGATAGTGGGTCCCACAGACACATAAATGCCGCACCGAGGAAGCCGGTCCATTTGCCTCTTCTAGTTAACTGCATTTGCCTCGAACCTTCCACGTAATAAAATAAAGGCAAAACCCCAAAAGAGGTCCCTATATAGTTTAAAAAAATTAATGTGACTTTTGTATTGTTTTTTTATTTTAATGTCGTATTTCAACTTTTGAAAAAATTCAATGTGATCATTTGGTTAATGTTCTTCATCGTTGACTATTACAATGCTCACGTGTATTTTACAGTGGTGACATGATAGTCTATTGTGACTGATGGGCTAAATTAGTTTTTTGGTTTTGTTCGAGTGTCAAATTAGCTTTTTTTAAAAAATCAATGGTTTCTTTAATTTTAAAAAAATAAAAATATTTTAAATTATAAATATAAATTCAACTATTCAAAAAATAAATATAAAATATTAAAATAAAAATTAAATTACTAAAAACGAATATACATATTAAAAGTACTAAAACTATAATAAAGAATTAAAAAATGAATATATATAATAAGTTATAAAATAATTACTTATAAATTATTAAAAAATAAAAAAATATTTTTAAAAAATATATTATACATAATATATACATGTAACATACATGCATATTATCAACACTTATAAAAATATTCTAACTAAATTAATCGTGAATTACAAAATTTAAATTAACCGAGACTTATAATTTTTGAATTAGTCAAAGCTTATTATGTTTTCCAATTATTTTTTTGTAAGTCTCGATTAATTTAAAAGATAATTATATAATAAATTTTGACATAAAATATAATTAGAAAAATATTAAATTTCTACTAATCTAAAATTTGTAAGTTTTGATTAAATCCAGTAAGAATATTGTGTATAAATGTTGATATGCATATATGTCACATGTTTATATTATGTATAATAAATCTTTTCAAAAAAAATGTAATTTTTTAATAATTTATAAGTTGTCAGTTTATAACTTATTATATATATATATATATTATTAAAAAATGTTAATTTTTATAATAATTCTAATATTTTTAATATAAACATTCATTTTTTAAATATTTTTATTTTTAGTATTTTTATTTTTAGTATTTTGAATATTCGAATAATTTTATGGTTAAAATTTAAAATAATTTTTATTTAAAAAAATAAATAAGTCCTTATACTTAAAAAACAATTTGACCCTCGAACAAAATTAAAAATTTAATTTAACTTATTTTTTATAGCATCTGTCATATCATCAATCACTATTAATTGTCACGTCAATATCATAACCATCAATTACGTAAAAATATTGGTCAAAAGATTACATTGAACTTATTTTCTGAGTTGGAATGTCATATTGAAAAATAATACGAAACCTCATTGGTTTTTTTAAAATACATGGACCTTTGATTTTTTTTTACTAAAATAAAATATTCAAGCTTTTAGTTTGAGACTAAATCTGATTTTAGTCCTTCTACTAATTCTGAAATTTGAAATTTAACCACTTGATTGACATAATTTGCTATCTTCGGTATATTTAAATCAGTAACACAATCAATTATTGTCATTAAAGTCATGTCAGTAACGCAATTAATAATTGTCAGTATATTTCAAAGAACATGCAACTTTAAAAATCCAAATAATATATACATTTATTAATTAAATATAATTAACCTAATAACACTCAATAATTTCACTTTAAGAAAATGAATTCTTATTAACAAATATTATAAATACTCATGAAATAATTTCACTTTAATAACCAATAACACACTATTCACTATGCATATATAATTAAATAATTGGTGCTTTACCATTGGTATGAAAAAACATGATACACGACATGGGAACATAAATAGTTTGATCTAGCTAACCCGTGCTTATCGATGGCTAATTAGATCATTAGATCTCAATCTTGCAATCTCGAGTTTTTGTAGATTTACTTTATTTATTAGATTAGCTAGAACCGATGTCGGATTCTGATTAATTTGAATGCAAAGTCGATCAAATCTGATAAAATGTTTGAAAAGCAAACTGAGATTGATCTGTTCTTAAACAAAAACAGGTATTGGGTTTTGATTAACCTACAAGCATTATGAAATTCCGGAATTATCATTTGAATTGTTCATTAAGAACATAGGCGAAAACATCAAATGCACAACAAGAAAAGGGAAACTAAAGAGCTGTGCTTACGAGTTATAAGTTATGGCTACGCATATGCCACCGAGAACATCTCCGGTATGAGCAAAGACGGAGAAGAAATCGAAGAATGCTCTAACAAGAATTCAATCTCGTTGTTGGAACTTTGGCACTTGGGGGGGGGGGAACCTACGTCCAATGAGATGTCGCCACGTATGAAAGAAAAACCAACCTTACTTCTCTAAGAAACGAGATAGCTGGCTCGGGTTGACGATGCCGGGAACGTGGGTCCCATCGGTCTTCAGCAAACTCGCCACTTCCACGTATCTTTGACGCTTGTTCTCCTCCCTCGGCTCCGGATCCGGCTCGGCGTCACCCGTCGCGGATCTCTCCATCGGCTCGGCTTTTCCTCCGATTGTCATCCTGGATTCGGCGGCCGTTTGCAACGGTCGTGTCGAGTCCCATGGCTGGCCGAGGAGCGTCCCGCGGGTGAGGAACTCGTGGGCGAGGTATCCGGCGAGAAGCTGGTTGGGTAGCATGGGCGGTTTTGTGGGCGGAGGAGGGGTTAACTGTGTGAGGTCAAAACCGTCTCTCTCTTTGCGCTTATTGTTGTTGTTGGGCATAGAATCGGATACCCGTCGGGGAGGGAGACGCATCGTTTTGGTGTTCATTTGTTGCGACTTATTTGATACACGCCACGTCAGCACCAAATATCTACTACAAAATAGCCATCCATATATATATATATATATATATATATATATAAATAATGTATCCGGATGGATAAAATCGGATTGTTTGGGTAAAAAACAAGCGGGGAAATGGAAAAGGGTAAGAAGGTAAAACAAAAACAAAAGAAGGTTCAGATTCAGTGACCGGAATCTGGATTTACAATATTAAAATTGTCGCTATTTATAAATAAGTAAAAAAATGAAGAAGAATTGGGGGAGAGATTGAAAATTTTAGATTTTAGATCGGAGAAAAATGGGCGGAGTGAGGAGAACGAAAATCTTCTGGTGGATTGTATGAGTTTATAGAGAAGAGAACAACCTTTAGCCTTGAAGATTAAGGAAATTACTAAGTTTGCCACGGAGATATTAAATGACTAACCAACGCTCATGTAATGTTTTAGGTCCTTAAACAAAAACAAAAGTTTTAGGTCCAATCCCGTAAAAGAAGTCCCATGTACCCTGCACTTATATCGCATTTAGTCATTTTACCACCCATTTGATGATTTTTAGGATTTTTTTAATATTTTTTGAAGTATGTGTTTTTTTTAAATAGTAAGAGATTACTAATTATAAAGTTACATTTATTCATAATAATTTTAAATTATTGACAATGTATATATACCTTATAAATATAATTATTCGAATTCGAGTTATCAAAAAATAATAATATTTCCTTTAACTATTTAATAAGATTAGTCGAATTCGAGTTATCAAAAAATAATAATATTTCCTTTAACTATTTATATAAATGGATTATGTGTTTTTCCATCTCTACTCTTTACTATTCACTTATATCACGTTTGACGATTTTACCATATAAACATGCTTCGGTAAATAGTCTAATAATGTAGTATGATGATAAAAGTTGTATTTGAAAATATTAAAAGTTGTAACCATCCTAAATTAATCAATAATATACAGACATAAAAAAGTTGTAATCATCCTAAATTAATCAATATATATATATATGCGTATTTCAAAATAATAATAAAAAGGAACGGTGATTTTTTTGTCAGATGTTAGTAGGTTATTAACATAACTCAATTTCATACGTGGGGAGCATTTAACAATTTAACGTTATAAAGAAATTATTTAAAAAAATTAAATATATAAGGATGAAATACACATATACTATAAATAATTCTTTAATATTTTTTAGGAAAAGACCATCATCCGATCAAAATATTGGTAATTTTATCTCTCATCAAGGAGTTATAAGTAATTTAATGGTTGCATTAGAATTATTAAAACATTTTATCAGTAAATTTATAAGTGACTTGGCACAAAATATTTTTTTCCTAATAATTACATAAATTTTAAATATATTTGAATTTAAATTTAAATCTAATCGAATAAAATATCAATTTAATTTACAGGTTTCTATCATGGGCCAAGGGTAAAAATTGTCACCTAATTGAATGTAAAAATGTCAACTCATTATTGTCATTAAAATAAAACTTTGGACAAAATTGGAAAAAAAATCTACACACTGTTATATCTTAGATGGGCTGAGATATTTCTTTGGGCTATTTATTTTTTTAGGTTAACTTCACGGGCCTTTGTTTTGGGTGGATTTTATGTTTTTTAAAGAGTGTAGATGTATGAGATTGAACGAACAAGATTATGTTTATGTTCGTTTGTTTATTTTTAAGGTGTTCATATCCGGTTCATGTTCGTTTAAAATTTTATTATCATGTTCGTGTTCGTTTTTTTAATATGTTCGCGCTCATTTATTTATTGTTCACGAAAGTGTTCGTTTAATGTTGTGAACGTGCTTGTTTATATGTTAATGAGTGTGCTCATTTAGTGTTCATGAACATGTTCGTTTAGTATTCATTTAATGTTTATTTTGCATTCGTTTATCATTCATTTATATGTTCACCAAAATAAAGAAAAATGGTAAAATTATGCCAATAGTACTTAAACTCTTTAAAATTCATAGTTTATATTTCATTTTTTATCATGTGTACAATCTAGTTACTACCTTCACTAATATTTAAATGTAAAAAAAGGAAAAAGAAAATTGGGTAGACGAACTTGTTCATGAACATAAATAATTGAGTTTATAAATGGACTCATAAACGAGATTAAAAACGAGCTTGTTCATGAATATAAACGAACCAAACACACTTCTATTCGTGTTCATTATTTTATTAAATGAATATAAAAAATATTCATTCTCGTTATTTAACTTAATAAACAAACATAAACGAACGCTATACAAACGATTCATAAACTATTGACCAAACATTTTATTCATTTACGCCTCTAATTTAATTTTTTTCCTATTGGTAAAGGAATCTGAAGCTTTTTCAGCAGACAGATAGGTTTAATCTTAGTGCAGCAACGAAACTAAATAATAAGTATAAGAAGCATGGAAAGTTTATTTTAAAAAATAAAATTTGATTAAATGATACCATGGGTTTTGCATTGTACTCGTTCCAATTAGAGCGGGGATGGGTATAAGTTTAGAAGATAGTAGGCGGGTGAAGATAGTAGGTGGGTGTGGATGTAAGAAGTCATATCTACCGTGGGTAGCGGATAAGTGATGGGTTTGAGACCTTACCTGCCCTGCATCTGCCCGTCCACTAACTACTTACCGTATATATTTTGGACAATTATGAATTTATATATAATTCTAGACACTATTCTGTATATCTTAAGATTTTATAGGAAATGACTTGTAATTTAATCAAATGTTAGGATATAAAAATTTTTAAAATTGAAGACTGTTATTTATCCTATCTCAAATTGACAGGTATGGACGAGTATGAGTAGATACATACGGGTATGAGATGGATACTGAGTTGGGGATGAATTAGAGAATGTATCCGCATGAGCAGGTGTGAATTTAAAAATTTTACCCATCCTGAGTGATGAGTAGATAGTAGATACAAAAATATTAAGTCGATATAGGGAAGGGGACACCTACTTCGCTTGTTTACCATCCCTAAATTGATACCAATGATAAAAAATAATATTATTTAATTTGAAAATTTGAATTTAAATAATTATATTATATCTTTAGCATAAATATGTACTACCTTTTAATTAACAGCTACTATTAAAAAATGTTGTCCATTCTAATATTTTTTTCAAAATAATTATAACTAATTTAAGAGATAGATAAATTATTATTATATTTTGAATAGTCTTGGTGATTATAAGAAATGGATGCTCTTATTCTTTTTAAATAATCGATTACGTATATCTTGGAGACGTGATTGCTCAAACTCAAATTTTTTAAAATGAACAATACACTCTTTTACTACTAAAAATCTTTTCTTACTAAGACAAAGATAAAACATGTCTTTTAAAATTTTAAAAATCAATATTAAACATTTAAAAAGCTTCATTTTTTTAAAATTTTAAATTTACTACATTTTAAAAAATGAAAATTCTCGTTAAATCCCCAAACTTTTAAATTTCTAATTATAAATTTTTAGATTAAATTCTTTAAAAAATTATTTTTTATTTTTTTATGAAAACTTAATTGTTTTTTGTATTGTCAAAATCCATGAACGAAAAAGCGGCGAACTAAAAATAATGGCGTTAATAACCGGCAAAGTCCAGCACTGAAACATATGAACAAGCATCACACGTGGCATAAAAATTGCTCCACCAGCGAGGCCGCCATCTTTAAGGTGGACCCAGAATCTCATTTCCGACCAAAATTACCTATATAATTGGATTCTACATTTTAACTTTTATTAATCGATATCTTATATTTTACATTTTTATAATTCAATCCCAAATCTTTTCTCTTACCATCCAATTCAGGACATTCCATTTTTATTAAGGTGGACCCAGAATCTCATTTCCGACCAAAATATATATTCACTACATTTTAACTTTTATTAATCGATATCTTATATTTTACATTTTTATAATTCAATCCCAAATCTTTTCTCTTACCATCCAATTCAGGACATTCCATATTTTTAGTATAACATTGAAGAAGAAATTTCCAGGTAATCGAAAAAGGGAGATAAAGAAACCAAAAGAAATAAAGAACCAAACACTTCAATTTCTTCAAGGAATTGGCTTTGGATGCTTACTTGATCGAGTAATTTTAATATTCAAAGCGACGATCTTGTTTTAAGAGGAAGCCTTTGCTGGGTTTGAAGGAGCAATCTTCAAAACCAGTTGGGTGGTGTTGCTTTTCTTTTCTTTCGAGAAACAAAAGGCGCGCTCCTTTTTCTTTTCCCTTTGATATATAAATTTGCCTGAGAGTTCGATTATACTGTCAATTACTTGAATTGGGGATGCTTTTTTTTTTATATATATAAAAAGATTAGGAGTTCAATTCGATGTCAGGCGAGAGTTTGAAGTGGGGTTTGAGAAATATTGGTGGGTTTTTTTTACAAATTTTGATAATTGAAATCTGTTTAATGTGCTAAAATCTTGAACTTTATTGCTTATTGATTAGTGCATTGCTTTGATGATCATATTGTGTATATACTTAGTATTAGTTATTTTTCCTTTGGATCTATTTTAACGTCCTGTTATTGTTATTTTTTCTTGTAGATTTTGGGGAGGTGAAACAGTATGAAGACTAAAATAACGACTGAAAAGCCTAGGAGTGGACTTAGGTGTGTTTTCGGGGCAGAAAGTGGAATGTTTATGCACCGGTGATAGTGAGAAAAATCCAGATAATAAGAAAATAAGACAAAATGATATCAGAATCCCTTGCTGCCAAACATCATTCATGGAGAGGTTTCTCTTCCAAAGTTGGTTATAGTGAGAAAAATCCAGATATTAGTAATATAGAAGAAGTTGAATTGTCTCTGCGTGAAAGTAGCTCACTGAATTATGAGGTTTGCCTCTTCATTCCTTTCGGATTTCAAGTTGGTTTCTGTCGTAGTTTTGTTCGCCGTTGACATTTTGAGTTGTGGGGTCTGCATTGTTGTTGTGAAAGTTGGTGGTGGCACGTCGATTTATGTATTTTCTTTTAAAAGTAACCTCACGAGTCATGACTACTCAAATCTAGTTTGGGTGGGTCTGATGTCTATTCCAGCCTTTGTTTAGGAGATTTTCAGGT